TTTCTGGTACCTCTTAATGGACTTTTGCTGATTAAGATTGAATGATGAGGTTTTGTTATTTACTAATAGATAAAAGATGAGATACAGGATGAGAAGATCTTTGGTTGAAAAGTTAGAGAAGGTGATAAGTCACTGACATTGTTTGTACTTGTCTTGATGAAGGAAGAAGTCATTTCTTTATATATTCTTTTCCCTTTATATATTTTTTCTTTTTCCTCCCCCTTTTTTCTTCTTCTTTTCCCTTTGCACGTTTTATTCTTTTTTTTCTTTTTATATTTTTCTTAGTTTGTATTAGATTTTTATCACTGTATTTTTAAACTTTAATAAAAATTATTATTAAAAACAAAAAGGAAAATGGCATGGTTATGCCCATGCAGTCATCAGGATTCAGAGGCTGCCTTTTCTCTTTCAGTTTGACCATACTTGTAATTTTAACTCTACTTAAGAAAAACTCAGGGCTTTTTCAGTAATAAGAGGTAAATCAGTGTGGCAGTCTTCAGAAGCCCTCAAATGTTATGTTCTTATTTATAACGTCTGTAAGAAGAACTGCCATTTATCATCATGAATTGTATAAACAGTATCTAGAGATTTTTGGAGCTTCTTGAAAAGTAATGGGGACCTTGAATGCAGATGTACCTTACTTTATTAGTTGAGATAAAGGGACTGTGAGCTGTGCCAGTGTCTGTAAACTGAATGTTGTCCTATAACTTTCAAGGAGTTCTAGGTAGTAAGCTAGAATTTGGGATATAAAATGTATGGTTAATGTAAACAGTACATTCAAGATGTTACCAACATTTCAGGGAAGAGAAAAGAACTGCTACACAATAGCTCTATCCCCTCTTTGTGCTTACTACTCTCCTGGTATACAGGGCACACTTCTAGAGATCTTCAACCAGCGGAAGTTCTTCCATATGATGAAGGGCCCAGAAAATAAGGGTTGGACATTTTTGGAAAGCTTCTCTGAATAGAACCTCCATGCATGTACTAATACAAGTATATATTAGTTATAAAAATCTTGTCACCTTTAATTTTTAAAAAACTTTTAATATAAATTGAAAATATTGGTCCTTTTATTCTGCAAACTATCCAAATTACTTTTTGTGGGGTGATGTTCCCATAAACAAATATGGAAGTGGTTGTTCTTTTACTTGGATTTGCTTCCACATAATCCCAACCTGATTTGGGACTATTGAAACTAAGAAAACTATTGTTTTCTTCTAAAGAAATATCTCCAACTGTGGCTATCAGAAGAAATCAAAGATTTATTTCATTCAATTTTCTAGACCTCACCATAAAGCAGTTGTATATAAGTATCTTTAAAAATCTGTGTATGGAACAGACAGTGATGTTTTGCAAGGGCAGATGCCAGAATATATTTTGAGAGTAAGCCCAAGCATGAAGTTTGAAAAACAATATCTAAAAGGCAATTTTCCAGTTGCATTTTCATTCTGCATTTTATTCTTTCAGATTCAAACTGTTACCAAAAATGTGCTCATCCCACAAGAAGTAGAAGAACCATCTAATGTTACAGATTCCATCTTTACCATCATGAATGAAACAGAAGCTACTGCAGAGCCTCAGTTTGTTGTTAAGAAAGGCCTTGAGTTTAAGGATGGAATGAATGTCTTAGGTATTCTCTCTCTCTCTCTTCAGACACCTACTAAATTCATTGCATAGACATGTTCTGTCATTCAAAACACTGAGGTTCTTTGTTTATAAACCTAATAGATTCTTGATCTAATTCAGTGTAGTTTGTCTTATGCCAGTTTGAATCTAGGCAGATTAGATTAAACTTGAAGCTTCCTTCAAGTTTGCAGCTCATTCTCTGAAGGAAGCACATTGGTTTCACTTAATCCTTCATAACATTTCCAACTGCATCTGAACAGTTGTAGCTACAGGTACCTCATGCTAGTTACCAGTGGAGATGTATAGAGGAAAGGACAATCTATTCATTGCTCTAAATTAGTTTTGCATTTATAAGTGTGCAGTTAAACTGAGGTTGGACTTCTAATGTTATTTTTATATCAGAATATCAGCACTGATGCCATTTCTGTAAATATATTCAGGCACATTGTACAGGAATTGCTGCTGAGAAGTAACAGTGTTGAATAATAGCGGACAGCTATCAGCTGGTAGTAAAGGGAAGCATTGCAGAGGGAGCACCCAGGGTCCTTCTGAACTGAGTAAATCGCACAAATGAATTAACGAGAAGATATTTGAATCAAAACTACATTTAATGTGTTGTTTTTGAGAAGTGTATCATACATATCTTGATGCATTTATTAAAGGTCAGGTAATGTAAAACCCTGCCAGGGGAAGTCTGAGTAGGCCAAATCTTGCCTTTGTTCTCCAGTAATTTTTGCACAGATCTCTTTTTTGTAACTAGCAGTCTCTTTTGAGAGGTAAAGCTGATGTTTTTAAGAAGAGTCAAGCTGCCGATTGGATGAGTGGGTTGCTGACATCAGAAATAGAATGCTAGTCAAGGAATGCTTTGAGATGAAGTGCTCTTACCACTATCCATCAAAAGGCATTGTGTAGTTATTCTGTCTTTCCATTATTAACAGATTTTGTCTTATCTAAGAAGAAAAAAAGACAAAATTATTGTGGAGAACATATAGAAATATTCCAAATGGAAGATAACAAAGCCTGGATTCTCTACAAAATTCTGCAAATTAAAAGTTCATCTAAAAAAACACATTACCTAAGAGGAAAGCAAGGGAATAATAACAGTTGCTGAAACCCGTATGAGCTTTCATGCAAGGGAAACCGACCATCTGAATCTCCTTTATGACCCAAGAAAGCCTCTCATGAGGGTCAAGGAATGTTCAAGAAAGACCAGGGATTTAGGGAATGAGGGAATTACAATGATAGAGCAAAATCAAAAGAAATCCTACTTGTTAGAGAGATCCCTATTTTGTTTTTTTCCCTAATTATCCTCTCTCATTGCACACACACACACACACACACCCCACTAAATCCCAGATTTTTCTCAACAGTAAAAAGAGGTTGAAGAGAATGGAGAATTCCCCTTTCATATATATTGCTTTGGATGAACCCCAGAATATTTCAGCAAATTTCATAATTCTAAGAAAGTTTTCATAAAAGAGTCTCACTGTAGTATTCTTTCAACAGGCCTCATTGGGTTTTTCATTGCTTTTGGTATTGCAATGGGCAAGATGGGAGATCAAGCCAAGATGATGGTGGATTTCTTCAATATCTTGAATGAGATTGTAATGAAGTTAGTCATTATGATCATGTGGTAAGTCATCGTCCACTGAATACTCCAAACCCTGTTCTATCTTGGATATCATTTGGAATTTTATCAGTAATAATATAAAGAGAGCCTTGTTGGATCAGGTCAAAAGTATATATAATCCAGCAGTCTGGACTACAAATGTATTCAGGAATTTCACAAGAAGGACGTGATGATGATAACATCTTCCATTCTTGCTTTCTAGCTAATGACAGTGAAGCCATGTTGCCTTTGATTTTGGAGGTCATTTAGACCCAGATACTATAAGCCTGTCCTCTACAAAAATGTTTGCGCTTACGTATTTTACTATATTGGTTTGAAACTACAGTTGTGGTTTTTTTGCATCTGCTTTCCAATTTTGTTTCTTGTACTTAGTACAAAGTACTTAGAGAGCAACACAGATAGGAATTATCACAGTTTCTCCTTATAATAAGTAAGCAGACAGAAGTCTATGTAATTCTGGATCGAGTTCGTGTAGTGGACTTAAAAGGTGAACATGGGCTATAAAAAATGTTTTTATATGCTACATCATGCCATACTATACTACATCTCAGCTCATTAGAGAATCCCAGTAGACTATTGCTTCATTCTTGAAGATTATTAGCAGTGTGGCCACAAGCTTTGAGCCTGATTTGTAAATTGGGAAAAAGCAGTGTAATTTCATTTAAAGGCTGTCCAATTTGACTTGGCTCCAATTCAAAGAAAGATTCAGGAAATCACATGTTGTGTCTTTTATTGAGCATGGAAACCCCACATCTGGTAGCTGATGTTGTAGCTCCTCCTCCTCTTCCTCCTCATAACAAATGAGTAGGTTCAAGGATTTTGTAACTAGGCTCCATTCCATTTATTTGTGTTTGGACTGAGGTAGATGACATAATAGTGTCTGCTTATGGCAGCATTTTGAAGCACTGAATTGTACAAAATCTCTGTGATAGTTCTTTTTCATCACTGATCACTTTGGAGGAGCCCTCTTCATGTTTGGGGAGCCACAGAATTGGTCCAAAGCACTTGATTCAAGTCATGGTTCAGCAAAACCTAATATTTAATTTACTGTGTGATGCTCCAGTTTTTTCCGTTACCAGAACTGAATCTTTGCATCATGGTTACCCTCACACACTGCTTAGGATCCATTCTGAGCTGCTAATAGTGATTCAGCAGCTTCCAGTGTCACATTTATAGGGATTTTGCTCACAAATCTTGTTCATTTATATAGGGGAAACATGTATTTTATGAAGATAAAGTTATTTCCTTTCACATCTAAAGCTATATTCTGTCCAGTTATTTATGACTGTTCTTTGGACTGTTCTTTGAGGAAATGGTCCATACTTACCAGCAGCTTCAGTGATTTATGAAACTCTCACAAACACCATAAAAACATAAAACAAAGTTAAACATTCAGTAAGGATGTTCAAGGATGTAAGAGTCACTTTATGTGAGATGGGCAGCTATATAAATACGATAAAATAAATAAAGGATTCTTTGAAACTAAATTGTAAGGATTATTCTCAGTGAATATTTCAGGAAGAAGATTATCCGGCACCCTTGGAAACAGTGTTTAAAACAACATGGTTGAGAGGCTTATAGATTCCTGGTTAATTACTACTTGATCTTTGGATTCTTCATGGAAGAATCAGATGTAAATCCATAGTTTCAGTTTAGTTCCTGGTAAAATAGTGGGGATATGTTTAAGGGCATTAGTGAAATTCCAGTTTCCAGAAGGTTGGCTTAAGTTGTAATAAAAGCATTAGTCTTTAAATGCCAGAATATTTTGTTGCTGTCAGAAACTAACATGGTTATTCTTCTAAAATTTGTTACAAAGATCTGATCGGATACTCCCCTAGTAATACTAGTAGAAGAATGCAAGGAGGCAAGGAGCAAGCCAGTTAGCAAAAAGAAAAAAAAGAGCGTGAACAAATACTTAGGCTGAAAAAATTGAGTTCAATTTTCTTATTAGCAGCATTACATTAGGCCAAAGTATACAGACTTTACCCATAGCAAAGTTGTAAATAATAGTGAAGTAGAATGTGTAAATTCAAGACGATCTCTGAAAGTGAAATAAAATTCTAATCATAAGGAGGAAAAACTCCTGAGCTCTGTTTTTAGTGCATTTGATTGTTATCAGGTCTTCCTTTTATAAAGTTTTTGTTCATTTTTTTATTTTGCACCAGAGATATCTGTAATTCCATTCATTCATACATACATACATACATACATATCTGGGAAGGTGGCTCCAACAGATCCTAGAAACAACATCAGAGCTCTCAATCCAGAAGAGTCCAGTGCTAGGAACAGCTAAGATACTGTGCAGAACCCTCAAACTCCCAAGCCTCTGATAGAAGACCTGAGATTGAGGAAGACACATATCACCCATAGGGGTGAGAGGGGATTTTTTTTTTTTTTACATGTTGTCTTCCTTTCTTCTAGGTATTCTCCATTGGGCATTGCCTGCCTCATTTGTGGAAAAATCATTGCAATCAAGGATTTGGAAGTAGTTGCTCGGCAGCTTGGCATGTACATGGTAACCGTGATTGTAGGTCTTCTCATCCATGGAGGGATTTTTTTGCCTCTGTTGTATTTTGTAATTACAAGAAAAAATCCCTTCTCATTTTTTGCTGGGATCTTTCAAGCATGGATCACTGCTCTCGGCACAGCTTCAAGGTAATAGAAAATGTTGATGTTTGCTAGAGAAATAGCTCCTTTTGCAGGACTATCTTTTAAACAAAAATGCCTGGAAAATTCAATATCATGATAAGGAATTGTCTTCATAACCATTTTCCTCCAAGGCCATTGCTTGCCAGCTGCAAGATTGCAGACTGAAGCAATAACAAGACTTTGTTTAGGTGAAAAGTATCCCAAACGTAGAAGGTCATAGAATTTCACCACCAAAAGTGGGTTCAGTCTGGTTCATATAGATAAAAGAGATTAGGCTGGCCCCTTTGCACCTGACATACTAGATTACTCTGAAGACTCTTCTTTTTATTTGAGCTGATGGTGGCTGGATTGTCATTTTTCTATTATTATTATTTTAGTAGTTTACATAGTTATATTTTTATTATTAAATGCCCAGAGTCAATTGACTGAGGCAGTATAAAAACTGGGCAAATAAATATATTGGTCCAGGATGATGACAATAGTGTCAACAACATCAGAATATTGATAGAACACTTCTATTTCGATGAGTTCAAGATCATAAGACAGCTAATAATCTTCGTCGGTCTCTCCTTTGGGCTAAATGTTACATTAACTGTACTGCTAGCGTGCCTAGAGAGTGGTATTTGGGGACAAAATTAGAAATGCAGAAATAAAACAACCTATTTCATGACCCATGATACTGTTTGCATGGGATCACATTACATTTATGTAGACAAGGGCTACTGGTTTGTACTGGGTCCAGAAAATAATACTTGGGCCCTACTTTTATTCTTGGTTAATTCAATTCTTGCCCTTATTGATTCACACTGAGCCCTAATTTCTATTCTGTCTCATATGTAATTACTTAGGTAGCTACAATTAGAGGTAGGAAATATGCCCATTTTGGTTTCTCAGAGTTCCTCATTTCTGCAAATCTGCCAGGCTTGGTTCATCAGACTTGAGAATATTTTTCAGAAGATGGACAGTTAAGTGCACATTTCTTCAAAATATAATAAAAACATATTTTTGTTATTTTCAAATTCTTGTATGTGTGGGACACACGCATGCATGCATGTGGACATGTGCTTTCCCTCATTTTTAAAATAAGTGAACTGCATTGCGCCAACTTAAAAGCTATGAATTTTGAATTAGAACTAAGTTTTGATTCATCTGTTAACCTGAACATGTAAACATTTGTCCCCATTACATGTGAATAATAAGATGTTTTTCCATGTTCCCTAGCTACAGTACATCACTGGAAAATACTGTGATTATCAAAACAACTAATGAGAATATTTTAGTGGAGGGGTTAAGCACAATCTCCATTATCTGAAAAAAAAATTCCTTAGTTGTGACCATGTTTACAAAGGGCTATTTGAATCTCCATAGTGTTCTCTGTGAATTCTTTCTTTTCAGACATAATCAGAAGAGAGAGAGAATATAGAGGAAGGAACGCCTATAGGATAAATGTTAGATTGATCATTCTGTTTATAACTGTTCTCTTTTTAGAAATGAAGCAAATTGTCAGCATGTTACTTCTGTGTATTTTGTTTCCGCCTTTTGTAAAAAGAAAGTTTGGATAACTGGATGAAAAGCTGGATACGGAAATCCATCATGGTTTACCAGTGTTGAAATGCTGCCAAATAAACTGAACATCAGATACTGAATGTAGATGCTAAAGACACAGAACAACACTTCCTATTGGTTGGTGTTGTTGCTTATCTAACAGTTACAACTTAAATTGGAGTGTGGAAGCATTTGAAGGAGTGCTTCACAAAGTACTTCGCAAAGGGTGTTGGCATGAGTGAAATGCCTGTCTTTGAAACGTTGAGGCATGCATGTCCCAAAGGACACCTTCTGAAGTTAGCTCTGCATATGCGTGCATGTGTTCATAATGACTTCGCTTCACCAGAGTTCCAAGCACAGTGTGGTATGTGTATGCACATACTGTATATGCACAGACAAGCTGGGAGAGACACACCAAACTTACTGGAGGACACAGCTGCCTCGGTATTACAAGGAGGGGAACTTCACTTACACTAACATGCACTTCAGAAGTTTTGCACACTCTACCTAGTCGAAGTTAGCTGTTCACAAAAAGGGGACCTAAGCAGGGTTGGACCTGAAAGTTCTTGGATGGAGACTATATCAGTGGATGGACATTTTCATGTAGTCATCAAGAGGAACCTGTTCTTTTACAAATAGCCACATTTTAAGGATAATATATCATCTCCTAGCCAGGTCTTTTTGTGTTTCACTCAGCTGAATTCTATATTTAGAGAAAAAATTCGCATTGCTGCAACCTGAGGCTGAATTGTTTGGACACGCTGGGGGCCAGTTAAGGTGTTGGAATAGGACCAAGAAATCCTGGCTCAAACCAGCCCTCAGTTATGAAACCTTAGTAGCCAAGTTTTGTCCCATCACTGAGAAGCTTCACTCAGATTTTAAACTATGAAATGTGTGAGTTTCCAGGGCGGATGAACAGAGTTCAGTTATACACTGGGAGAGACCTGGTTGACAGCGTGCTGCCCGATAATACCATGGAATCAGAATCAATCTTTTTAATTGCAGAAGCTATATTGGTGCAGTATCATCAGCATGCTGGTGATACTCAGTTGTATATCTCTGCCCCCAGCGAGCCAAGTAAAACTATCAGGATTCGGTCCCAGCATCTGGAAGCTGTGGGGTCTGGATGGAGAAGAACAAGCTTCTGCTCAGTCTTACCAAGACCAAGTTTTGAGTCCGCGGTCCTGGACCCGGAGCTATTTCATCATTGATTCTGGATGAGGTTGTGCTATTCTGCTCAGATCCAATGTGCAGCTTGGGGGTCCTCCTGGACTCACGGCTCCTGCTTGATGAACAGGTGGCAGTTGTAGCCAGGGGCTTTTGTGCAACTTCATCTTGGATGCCACTTGTGCTGTTCCTGTATTAGAGGATCCACCTTGCAGTTATGCATGTCTTAGTCACCTCCTGGTTGGATTATTACAGTGTGCTTTACATGGGGCTGCCCTTGAAGACCATCCAGAGGCTACTTCATCAGTCCTCTTGTTGGACCCAGGAGGCATGCCTTCCCTGCAGCGGTGTTGCCCTTTGGAACGATGTCCTCCTTGCCGACCTCTGGTTGGCTCCAGCCCTGCAGGGCTTCAGAAAGACAGTTAACCCTGGCTCTTCCCTCAGATCGTTGGATTGGGAACAGCCGAGACCCCTTTGGGTGGAGATAACAAATGTTAGCCTCTGCTCATCATTTAATTGCTTATTTGTTTTAGCGGTATGCATTTGTTTTTCTTTTGCATTCTGTTTACTGTTCTTGCATGTGTGCGTGTGTGCTGCCTAGTATCATGTTGTTTAAGTTGAGCAGTTATATAAATGCTTAAAATAAAATAATTCATTTTCCTTGGTCCTTCAGTGCTGGTACACTGCCTGTTACCTTCCGCTGCCTTGAAGAAAATTTGGGCATTGATAAGCGTGTGACAAGATTTGTCTTGCCTGTTGGAGCCACCATTAATATGGATGGAACTGCCCTTTATGAAGCAGTGGCTGCCATCTTCATAGCACAGATGAATGGCATTGTGTTGGACGGTGGACAGATAGTCACTGTCAGGTACTCTATTGGGGTTGATAAAAAAATTGATATCCCAGAGCTTAAGTATTCCACAATAATTTGTATTTGAAAATACATGCTAGCCTTCATTCATGCTCAGAATCTATAAAAAGTTTCCACTTCGTCATAACAAGAAGAGAAAAGACTCCTTTTCCAGTTTCACCAATTACATACAAATAGAGGCAGGCCCCAGGTAATGGAAGAAAAACCAAGTTTATGCAAGGGCATAATGTGTACGATGCTGGCAGCTTTTTATGCACGCTTAAAAATGTCAGCACTTTCTTTATGTATATGTAAAGTTGTGGCTAACATTTTGTAGACATAAGCAGCACTGTATCCAATGGTGGCTATAATTTTGGGCACTCATGTGCCCCACAATCCAACATGGAGAAGAAAAATGTTTTTGTACATAAATGGAATCTGTATGAAATGTAACTATATAGTTCTTGGGTTTACATTTAAAATGGTGCTTTCTGTTAGCCATCATTTATATGATGTTAAATACTAAGTAGAATTTTTCACTATATCGATTGTAAATAGAAAAAAATAATGAAGGCCAACTGGCTAAAATTAAATTAAACATGTTTTGTTTTAATGCAAAAACAACTAAGCAAGAATGTCATTGGGAAAAAAAATGGTTTCGAAAATGAAAAGAGAGGCATGTTACATGTTCCTTGCTTAACAACGGTCGTTGGGACCAGAATTTCCATCACTAAGCAATGCAGTCGTAAAGCGTGATGTCATGTGACCGCACCACTTAGTGGCGGGAGTTCTTGGAGTGCCCAGCTTCTGTCATTAAGCAAGGACCACACAGGTCATTAAGCAGGAACCTCATGTGATCATGACTTCTGACTTCCTACTAGCTTCCCCACTGACTTTGCTTATGGGAAGCCAGCAGGGAAGGTTGCAAATCATGTCGGGACACTGTGACAGTTGGAAATCTGGGTGTCAGGTTCAGCCCAAAGAACTCCAAGAGACAATGCAGATACAGTTCTGTTGCGTTTATTAGCTTCAACCTCCAGCCAGAAATCTCCCCAGACTGGACCCTAGTTCCCAAGCCAGCCAGCCACAACACCCTGAATTCCTTAGGGAGGTGCCAGCCTCATCTTCTTGAACTTCCCACGCTCCTGTTGGGGGCTAAGAACATGCTTATTTCCCTGAGCCTGGCCTTCATAAGTCCATTCCATCACACTGGGCTGGTTGCCAAGTGACTGGATCATGACCACATGATTGCGGGGGTGCTGCACAGCCAGAACTTTGAGGACCAGTCATAATTACCATTCATTCAACACCATCACAAGGTAAAGTCACTGAACAAGTGGTCATTAAACAAGGACCATCTGTAATAAAAGTTCTTGAAAATACTTTAATCCTGATGTTGGCAACTTATTGTGTTGGATTGCACCTCCCACCATCTCTCACAATTAGCAATGCTGACTAGAACTCCTATGAGTTACAGTTCAACAACTTCTGGAGGGCCTCATCTGCTCTAAACTCAGCCAACCACCTTTAAAATAAAATTAATAGACATTCTGAATTTATAAGAAAAAATGGATTGGGTCCAAGTCTGTCTATTTGTTAGTAGAAAAGACTCGTCTTTGGAAGTTTGAGAAACTCTGCCAAGCAAAATTGAGGAGTATGCAATGCGGGCCTGGATTGGGAGAAACAAGAAACACTTCCCATGCAAATAGAACTGTACCTCTGTATCATAGACTTTTGAGAAGATAATAGCCAGAGCCTATGTTTGCACAATTCCTGTATTAAACAAGCAGACATGTTTCATTTTACAGTTTGACAGCCACCCTTGCCAGTGTTGGAGCTGCAAGTATACCTAGTGCAGGACTGGTGACCATGCTTCTTATCCTCACTGCAGTAGGACTTCCCACGCAAGATATCAGCTTACTCGTTGCGGTAGATTGGCTGTTGTAAGTAACACAGAAAGACTGCTTTTATGATATATCTCTAAATAGTGATTGATTATCCACCTGGTAGGATACTAACTTCTGCCTTCAGTCGCCTTATTATGATATGTTGCAAACTAGTGATTAAGATCTCAGACTAGTAGTGGAGATATCCATGTTCAAGCCCGTGTTGACCATGGAACTTGCTGGATAACTTCGGGACAGTCACACACTGTCTCAGCCCAACCTACTTCACAGAATTAAGGTCTTGAACACCCAGAGAAGAAGCAAGATGTTTACATTGTAAAGGGGCTAAGGTCATGTATGTGAATTGTTTCTGATAACCAATTGTAGCCAATTTGTACAAGTTGCATACTACTACTACTACTACTAATAATAATAATATGTGTTATATTATAATACAAATAGTCCTTGGTTAACAAAGGTAACTAAGTGATATGGCTGTAAAGCACAATGTCATGTGACCATGCCGACTTACAACAGCAGCTCCAGTTGTGGTCATTAGGTGAATCTTGCATGGTCATTAGGCGCAACATCATGGGATTGCCGTTTGCGACCTCCTGATGGCTTCCCCACTGACTTTGCTTGTCAGAAGCTGACTGTGAAGGTCACAAATGGTGACCACAAGATGCTGTGACTATCGTAATTGCAAGCCAGTTGCCAAGTGCCCAAATTGCGATCACATGACCATGGGGATGCTGTGACGGCCGGAACTTCAAGGACTGGCCATTAAGTCTCCTCATTCAGTGCCTTTATAACTTTGAATGGTCACTGAATGAATGGTCATTAACCAAGGACTACCTATAATAACATTCATTTGTGATGTGGGGGATCCATTCCTTTTTTTATCTTAGAATGGTAGATGGATAGAAATTCTAGCCCAGCCTTGACCGTGAGCTATTGTACATGCAGAAAATGAGGTGGGTATAGATTCTTTTGAACCTCAATCTTAAGGAAGTATTCTATACAGAAAGACTGGCACGATTGCACTACAACTCTTACTTGGTATACTAAAACTACACATGTGCTTGTAGACCTTCTTTTGTTGTCTGCACAACACTATCCCATCACTGGATCTTCTCCATTTTTGCCTTGCAGATTTTTTTCGAAAGACAAGACAGTGATGCAGCATTTGCAGTTCACTTTTTGGGCAAGCTTCTAATCTCAACACCTTCTGATTAGAAGCTTCAATAGACACTTACCATAAAATATTTAGTGGTCCTGAAGGACTTGATCTTGGTATATTTCTTCTCTCCCAGCCCCGCCATTTAAAAAAATGCTGAAATTGATTCACATATTGTAGCAATAAACAAGGCAAGCTGATAATTAAAACACAATGCTAAAATGTTAAAGCTGCAGAAGCAGCAAGAGATGACAGAATAATATCAACCAGTGGAACGATAAAACAGTCACTTTATTAACAATCTATTGCAGTTGAGCAAGTGAGATATTCATCTGACACCAAGGTCTTCTTAGTGCTGATGCTATGCAGTTCTCCTGGGAGAAAAAGCATTCCATACACTAGATCAGTGTTTCTCAACCTTGGCAAATTTAAGATGTGTGGACTTCAACTGCCAGAATTCTGGGAGTTGAAGTCCGCACATCTTAAAGTTGCCAAGGTTGAGAAACACTGCACTAGATGCTAAAACTTAAGAAAGTAGGATGAGCTCTACCATAAAAAGTCCTGTAGGCTCATGTACAGGTAGTCCTCATTTTGTAACTGCCTCAGACAGTAACTGTTCGCAGTTACATGGTGATGAAAAAGTAACTTTGTGACCAATGTGCACATTTACGACTATCACAGAGTCTCTGCCTCAGTCATGTGTTTGCCATTTCAGTCAGTATGCGTTGTCCTGTAGCTGACCTGTTTTTGTTTTTGTTTTATTTATTTCCCATCTCTTTGCAGAGTGGAGAGATTGCCTAAACAAGCTAACTCTTCCTGATTTTCTCCTCCCAACAGCAGGTCCCTAAAATGTGTTAACTAAAGTTAACAAGCTCAGCTCTGTGACCTAAATTAATTGATTAGAATCCTCTGGCTCTCTAGGGTAGCTGCCGGACACTGACAAGACCTTAATCAATTTCACACTGAATGTTTTTTTTGCAACCTAAGTAACTCCTGGGTCACAGCCCCCAGCACACTAGGGGAACAGCTAGCGCTAGTGCATTCCTTTTAGTGTGCATTCCCCAGTGTGTGTCTGCTTACTCTCTTCTAATCCCTTCCTCTCCAATGAATGTAAATACAAACATCAATTCTCTTCTTGCTAATTATCCCAGCATCAGGGTGAGCATTCCAGAGGGCAGGGGAATGGGGAAAAAGGGCTATAAGATTTGCCCATTTACCCAGCTTCCTCATGAGTCGAGCTTCAGAAAACTTCCCTGCTGTGTGGGCTCACCCAGCTGTTTGGGGCTGTATCCTTTTGACACTGTAAAGCAAAGGAAAGCTGAAATCGTAAGCACATTTGCAGTCACATGATTTTCATTGAGTGACCACTTTGTTTAACAAAGGAGTTGCTCATCCTAATTGTGGTCACCAAACGAGGACTACCTGTAATAATGTAGAAGAGAGATGCTATTTCAACTAATTTATATCAAATTTCTGTCTCACCCCTATCTTTTAGGTCAAAAGGTAAGAAAATATTGCTGTGGCTAGGAAACAGCATGGGCAATTCAGTAGTTAATAGAAAACAGCCAAAGGAAAAATTGCACTTAGGGTAGATAGATAGCTGTATCAATAAACAACAGGTACTGTATTTACATTTTAAGGGCATGTTTATATTGAAGCAAAAATGAGCCAAGCCTGACAGGCAGTAAGAGGATATTAAACTGATGTGGCGATTGTTTTCTTGTTCAAGGAAATGTCATTTGAAGCAATGTCACTTGCCAAAAAAGCCCTGCCTCTCCTATATGGAGAGACTCCGCAGTCATAATTCACCGACAGAGGCAAACAGCACATTGGACAGGAAAGGTTGGAGTTTACCATTGCGATGCCTGATCCTTCTCAGTCAAAGATTGGGTGATGCTGCAGTTAAAAATAAGTGTCCCCTGAAGCGTTTCTGTGATGGCATTTGATAGGAAAGGTCAGGTCGAGCAAAGGAAGTTTGAGATCTTGAGAGGGCTTAAAGGCTCCAGTGACAGGAGGGCAATTCTATGCATGTTGTCTTTAACGTTATGGAGAGAAATTTCAAGATGATTCATGCACCTTTTTAGACAGACTTTACAGTCAAAGACTGCACATTGTTTTTTAAATTCCTTTTTACTGGGAGGGACCATTTTATACTTCAGTGAATCTCACATGAAAAAGCCATGTTTGTGCTAATTAACCTGAGTGGCTCCAACTGAGCCTACCAATTTCCTCACTTTCAAAAAAACAAAAAACCCTGACTGAAGTTTTTTCTAATTTGTTTTTTTTCCCTAGTTCTTTTTTCCTAGTTTGGCTTGAATTACCATATATTTATATTCATATAGTGGATTGTGTGCATGCAGTATCCAACAATTAAGTACAAGCAAACATAAGACTCTAACCAATCACCACGTGCTAATTAAAATGGATTGGTTAATTTTATCAACCTGGTTTGAATTATACACCTAAATATAATGTGATATGTATCACTGGCAACTGCATATAAGTCTTAGATTTTAATATGCATGTATCTTTTTCAAAATTGCTGTGGAATTGTATTGCCAAAAAGATCTAAAAATGTAAACATAGACTATACATATTTCACCTCTTCTTCTCTGTGTGCATGGGATGTGTAAACACGGAGTTCACAAGAATATCTTTCTAGCATTAGCAAATTGCACAGTTCCTATTTTAAAAATGCAGCATTTTGGAAAAAATAGTGCTTTTTTTCCACAAGGAAATTAATCCATTGTCTTAGTGGTGGCCAAGAACTGCAGTTTTACAAAGGGGAAGTTGACAAATTTAGCAAACATTATAGGAAGCCCCCCAGCACAGGGATTTTATAGCCTGAGAAAGAGGAAAATAGAGTCTTCTATAGATTGTTCAGTTTTTGCTTTCAGTTTTAAAATGCCTGAGGAAATGAATTATCCCTCAAATTTAGTGTGGACATCTGGTTTTCTCTCCATTTAGCAGCACATAAAATCTAAGTTTTTGATCCCAATCACCTGGTAAAATGGCATTTTAATGTTGGTATTCAAATCATAAATCAAGATGAAGGTCAGCCAATGTAAACTGAATGAATAGCCAACAGGTGGGTTATAAAGAAAGAATGAATTTTGAAAATCTTCAGATTAGGAAGCAAACATCAGAAACTTACTGGAAAGATATATTTGTTGTTGTTTTTTGAAAAAGTATATTTTATTATGATAGCTTTTCACTTCCTTTTTCTGAAGAAAGCATTTCCACCTAATCTACTCTTTAAAAAGTGGTCTGATGATTCATGTTCATTTCTAGAAAAACAGATGTGCCTGATGTAGCGAATCTCCTTCTCGAATCATTTCCTCAAATGATAAAATTAAAAGTGTAATCACAAGTGTACTCAGTGGAGCCCAGGAAATTCTGTTGCTGCTCTAGACAGAATATGCTCATACATTCAGATACTTCTAGGCACCTAATGTGCTGAGGATTGGTTGGAGTCCAGTGGGTCAGTGCTGTACAGCAGGGTTCCTCAACCTCAGCAACTTTAAGATGGGTGGACTTCAACTTCTAGAATTCTGGGAGTTGAAGTCCACCCATCTTAAAGTTGCTGAGGTTGAGGAACCTGCTCTACAGTGCTTGCATAGCGTTCACTGCACGGATAAGACTTTTCACAAATGTAGACATTAAAAAATTACCAGGCTTTGGAGATAAAGTGTCTCACAGTGACTGATGTTGAAACAAACATTACAGCACAAGTTAGCATTTTATAGAGGTTTTGGAAAGTATCAATGCAAGTGTACAGATACTCAGGGTTTTTTAAGAACTCTTCTTGCTTGCCCAATTATTAGCTGCTTTCAGAACAGACCTTTTTATACATTACCTTCTTACTCAGAGGTTTCAACATTAATATTAACCAAGTTCAAGAGAGGCAAAAATGTATTCTTTTCCAAAAGGGAAGAAATTGAACTGAAGAAAATTGGTAATTAAGACTTAACTAATCAGTCCTGCAACTCCTGGAATGCTTTTGAGAAAACATAGGATTCTACTTTATATTGCTCCTTTTCTCTTGCCATGAAAACATTATTATATTGGGGATTCACACTGTAAATCAGCCTAATGTCTTCAAGATGCATTGGATTGCAACAAACCTAGAGCTTGGCCATTGGTCAAGACTGGATCTGAATACCATCACACTTGAATTGCTGAAGGCTCTCGTAAATTGATGGTCCTGTGCTTCAAATCTTCTGTCTTTTGGTATTGTTTTCTCTGTAGAGATCGAATGAGAACATCTGTCAATGTGGTAGGAGACTCGTTTGGAGCTGGCATTGTTTATCATCTATCCAAAGCAGAACTGGAAAACCTTGATGCCCATCACAAGATACATGAAGATATTGAAATGACCAAGACTCAGTCAATTTATGATGATCTGAAAAATCACAGGGAAAACAACTCAAACCAGTGTGTTTACACAGCTCACAACTCTGTCATAATAGATGAATGCAAGGTACCTTTCACTTTTATGGATATTGAGACTTGTATCTAGCCATTCATAGTACAAATTCCTTTTTTAAAAAAAATTAAGTTAAATTATCTTTTTAAAAAATGTTACATTATAAGGGGACAACAGCAAATGCCACCCATTAAAAATGTTGAACAGATGTAGATTTGCTCTTACTTTTATTTGGTTTATTGCAATTTTGATTAAACTGAAAAATGCATGTAATGTTTACAGCCAAGAACATGTTCCACAATGTGTTATGGAAAGCGACACTGGGCTGAAAGAATATGGCTTCATGTTCCATTTCAATATTCATTTGATTTTTTTAAGCACTTTGATTTAATTGATATGAAATAATGAATTTGTTGCAAATCATTATTATTTCAAAAAAATATTTGTTTTTCCTCTTCAAAATTTAGTTATTTATTTATCTGTAGAATTTCTAAGACCACCCTTCTCAACCTAGTCACTGTGGGTGCTTAACAATACACAGCTATACTATACCATTCTATACCATGCAACAGATTATTGAATAAGCTAAGAAAAAGATTTAAGAAGTTGTATGATTATTAATGTGAAAGAAAGTTAACCATTCAGAAACAATGAGCCTTGAGCAAAATGTAAAACCAATATTTTTTTAGATGAATGCTTTCCATAATACACCATACAGGCACATGTGTTGGACTTCTCAATATATGGAAACTCACTAATCCAGGATGTCTGCTCTTGCTTTCCGTGTTATTTTTGGTCATCATTACCATGCCAATTTTGCGCTTTGTGTTTAATCCTGTCAGTAATAATATGGTTTAAGAGAAAGCTATAACAAGAATTGTTCTGACCAAGATTGAATTGAGTTTCAGGAAACCATATGGCCACAAAGATTCTTGGGCTCTAAGAATAATTTTTATATCTTATTTGATTAATCACAATTTGAGGTGGCAACTGAATCTGACAAAAAATTGGAAAATATGAACTAGGTTTGCAAGAAGCTAGCTTAAAAATGTAGGTTCCAAACTGATTTTTTTCAACAAAATTTAATTAAGATTAGTTATTATTGAGAGTTCAGATGAAACAGTAAATTGTGATTTATCAAACATAGAAGTGAATGCTTCCAGTCATGGTGGGAAGAAAGAAGTCGATGTACAAATTAGTGATTTGCTTAGCTTGTTCAAAGCACAGTTATCACTAGTAACAACTCAGGGTTTGACTGGAAAATTGAATCCAGTGTTTTCTTTAGCAGATCTACAGCTTCATTTTTATATATTTATGCTGATAGAACCTGATTCTGAGATTAACATGTATCAGCCATAGATGTCCACTACTAAGTTGAAATGATGTGAAAATGACAAAATATGCATGGTGACATCACATCACAAACTGTGTGCTTTCATACTTGCATCCTAATGTCGGAGACAAGTAGTGTATGTAAGTCGCATGGTTTGAGTTGTGATGACTCAATGCAGGTTTTGATATTCCCTCCGCCCAACCCTGGTTTTATGGCCATGGTTTTAATTAGATAGTCATTAAGCTTTTTATCCGTTAGTGATAGTTTTAAGTTCCAAAGGAGAGCAGGAAAGAATGCCCACTGAAAGCTTTGTATGATATTAGGTTTCTAAAACTTCAACACAATAAAATTATGCCTCAATCTAAAAACATTGTGATCAGAAGATTTTATCCATATGCCAGTTTCCAAGACAGAAAAATTACTAAGCACTATGATTAGGTTCTCAATTTAAGCAGATTTTTTTCAGGTGTCGGCATTAAACTACTTCCTTATAATATTAGATATGGTTATAAAGTATGAGAAAATCCCATGATTCCAAAGTAATACTATACAAAATTTAATCACTTTTAAGTTTCAAGCGTTCAGAGTGGACCACATATTTACAATGTTAACGTTGAAATGAATGAGATACAAATGTTATTAAATGTCTAGTTGGATCATCCCCAATAAAAAATAACACTAAAAATCTATGTGTGAGTATAAAAGTTCACAACAGGATCCAAGTTTATTATTTGGTCAGCAGTTTTTGTTATTGATGCTTGACCCAGTTATTAATGCAATTACTTGTCCTTTTGACTTCTTAATATTTAAATGGCTTCCTAGCTTAGTAGTGTTGCATGACTAATATATGTTTATTGGCAAGCAATATTGACTTATAAATTGCATGACCGTTTTTTCCTTGTGTTTTTATTTTCACATTTTATATTTTTTTCTGACCTAACCTACAATTTCAACTTCAAATATGTGGTGATTTTTGCTCTTTTTAATGCATGTATTTCCCTCTTTGTAATCGGAAAAAAAGGCTGCAATTGTTTCAAATGTGAATGCATTCTTCATGTTTTCATGTCCAAATGCTTCTGTGCATCCAGTTTGTCCATCATGTGGAATAATAATCCTGTCTTTAAGTTTTTATTTGAAGCTGAGGACAAGAACATGGAAGGTAAGGTAGGAACTGGAAGTAGATGAAAGGCTCAATTACTATGTAAAGGTCCAGTTCAATTTCAATCAGTCTGACAAGTACTTTAACCCTTTGGGTTTTCCAGCTATGTTTATGATATTACAACTGTTAAAAAGTTATGCATAGCTGGAAGTATTTTTTTTAATTGACTACCTGGATATTGCTTATTAATCAGTGCATCCCCTAGAATGTTTTGATCATTCTGGGCTTCCCACCATTTTTATCAAGGTAAAGTGTAAAATTTTAAGAGATACCTGCCTCTTGTAGTTTGTGTATAAAATCCACTCTTGTTAATACTTGTTTGACTTGATTGTAACTGTACCTTTAACATAAACCAGTAATGAAATATGTCACTTTCTTGTGGCAAATTAATTCTGCTATTTACTGGTTTGCTTTTTTGGTAGTCTGTGTACAAAAAACGCCTATCCGTCTGCTACTGATTTTTCTCTGCATTGTGTTTTGTGCTGTAATTTTGAGTATTTTCAGTAGATCTTTAAAAAATTAAAATGGCAGAAATGATTCACTTACAACAACAAAAAAATTGAAGTATGAATATTTTCAGTCAGTTCTGTAAATATTAAGATTTGTATGATTCATGTTTCCTGCAAAAGTGCCTTGATTTTAAGCTAGGTGTTGATGGTAATTACTTGCAGGTAACCTTGGCAACCAATGGCAAATCTGCAGACTTCAGTGCTGTCGAAGAAGAACTTTGGAAACATGAGAAATAAGTCCCTGAAGTTGTCTTTTGGTAAAGCAGATATCAAGATCCAAGATTTTTCACTGTTTTCATTTAGCATAGAAATGTGCTTACTTAATGCTGTTAACTGAAACTTAGAAATGGTCTCATGAAGTCTTTGTTCTTTTAGTTTCTTGGCCAAATAATTCTTCTTACTTTATCATTTGTTTGGATGTGAGAGAGAGATTTGGTTGGGTTTCCTCCTTCTGCTCAAAACTTAGAGAATGTAGACATTTAAAGAGGAAAGTTTTTAAAGGACAATATAGCTGATTTGCTTCAGGGACTAAGTATTTAGCATTAAGTATAGTGTACACCATGCAGAATCTGCATTGGCTCTCTCCTGCTGAATATGTGAACCTGTATCTTGATGCATCCTGAACACAGTGAACACTTTATGTAAGACATTTCTTCTTAAATGCTTTCCATGTGCTTTACTTTGCATATGGTTTTCTTCAGCTCCCTTTTCTTCAGGCTGTCTTAAAATAAGTGACCTACCTGAATTCCAGTTCAGAACCCCAGTGAGTATGAATACATGCAAAAAAAAATAATTTTTTTTAATCATAAAGTCCTCATCTCTCCATTCTAGTTCTGTAAGCACTCAACCTTTTTGAGATTTGATGGCAGAATACAGTTTATGCACAACTGAATGGAATGAATAATGGTCATGGGCTCATTGCCCTATAATCCCAATGGAATGTCCTTCCAACAGGCAAATTTGTGACAGTGGAATTAAACAAATGACATGTTGTTTGCAGAGCTAACCATTCATTCCAGGAAGTATGCATTTTTACCTGGGAAGATATCCAACAATTAGCACACTTGTAATAATTCTATAAAAGCAGAAAGTAGACGTATTTGCCTCGATCCAGCAGCATCAAGAAACCACAGAAATTCTTGTGTAACTTTAACAGTACTAAAGTTAATCCAATACCAGTAGTTCAGCAGTGCACCCCTCTGTTCTCAGCAAATCATATCTTACTGCCTTTTTGTTGAGATTTGAGAGAGAATGTGAGGGCTTCTTTTTAGGGATGATATCATCTGCTAGTAAATCCTCTTTTGTCATGCCTTTTCTTAAGAAGAAATAATTGTATTTAGCAGGAGTGCTCTTGTACAACATCAGCTAGTTATTTAATCAGAGCTAAGACCATTTCCT